GGTTTCCTTGAAGAAACAAATGGAGGTAGGATTTGCAGTTCGTAAGTGCCAACACCCTTAAAGTGTACGTCCGTGCGGGGTGGCTAAGTGCCAACGCCCGCATACTTTCGCCCTGAATCGTTGCTAGGACTAGTGTACGTCCGTGCGGGGTGGCTAAGTGCCAGTGCCAACGCTAGGACTAGCATACTTTCGCCCTGAATCGTTGCTAGGACTAGTGTACGTCCGTGCGGGGTGGCTAAGTGCCAACGCCCACATACTTTCGCCCTGAATCATTGCTAGGACTAGTGTACGTCCGTGCGGGGTGGCAAGTGCCAACGCCCGCATACTTTCGCCCTGAATCATTGCTAGGAACAAGATGAGAAAGCCACAGCGAAGGCGGAAGAACAAAGGCTGAATGAGGAGATCCGAAAGAAGGAGGAGGAGGAAGCCAGGCGGAAGGAAGAAACACAAAGGCTCAGCGATGAGCTCAACGAGGAGATCCGCATGGGGATGGAGGAAAGCAGGCGTAGGGAAGAAGAAAACCGCCTGAGGGATGAGATCCGGAAGAAGCAGGAAGCCATGGAGGCAGAAGAAAAAAAACTGAAAGAGGAGATTCGACAGAAGGAGGAAGCCATGCGAAAGGCAGAGGAGCTGAAGGAGATCCGCAAGAAAGAGGAGGAGGAAGCCAGGCGGAAGGAAGAAGAAATGCTGAAGGAGAAGATCCGCCAGAAAGAGGAGGAGGAAGCCAAGATGAAGGCAGAAGAAGAAAGGCTGAACGAGGAGATCCGACAGAAGAAGAAAGGCTGAACGAGGAGATCCGACAGAAGGAGGAAGCCATGCGGAAGGCAGAGGAGCTGAATGAAGAGATACGCAAGAAAGAGGAGGAGGATGCCAGGCGGAAGGAAGAAGAAAGGCTGAAGGAGGAGATCCGCCAGAAAGAGGAGGATGCAAAGCGGAAGGCAAAAGAAGAAGAAAAGATGAAAGAGGAAATCCGCAGGACCAAGGAGCAGGAAGCGAAACGGATCGCAGACGAACAGAAGATTAAGGATGAGGAGTTCATGCAACGCAGAGCTGCTTTGGAACGACAGTTGGAGGATCTGCGTAAGAAGGAAGAATCCATGAGGATGAATAAAGCTGAGGAGGATGAGGAGGAATGCAAGAGACGCAAGGAAGAAGAAACGAAGAGAATGGAGGAGATGCAGAAAAAGGAGGAGGAAGACAACAGGCGCTGGGAAGAGATCATGAAGCAAGATCAGGAAAACCTCAGGCTTAAGAAGGAAGCAAAGGAAAAGGCCGAAGAAGAGATTAGGAAAAAAGAGGAGGAGGAAGCCAGGCGCAAGGAGGAAGAAAAAAAGGCCAAAGATGAGATCAGGAAAAAGGAGGAGGAGGAAACCAGGCGCAAGGAGGCAGAAGAAAAGGCCCAAGAAGAGATCAGGAAAAAAGAGGAGGAGGAGGAAGCCAAGCGGAAGGAGGAAGCAGAAAAGGCCCAAGAAGAGATCAGGAAAACAGAGGAGGAGGAGGAGGAAGCCAGGCGGAAGGAGGAAGCAGAAAACACCAGACAAAGACTCCGGAAGGAGATGGATGACTTGGAACGGCAGCTCCTGATGCTCCAGAAGGATCAGGAAGTCAAGTGCAAGGAGGGCCCAGAAAACACCAAGGATGAGACCAGGAAAAAAGAGGAGGAAGAAGCCAATCGCAAGGAGGAAGCAAAGGCCAAAGAGGAGATGAGAAAAAAAGAGGAGGAGGAGGAAGCCAGGCTCAAGAAAGAAAATGAAAAGGCCAAAGAGACTCCACTAGACCAGGCCGATCAATCCTAAACCTTAAATGTCCACAACCCTAAACCCTAGAAACCCTAAACCCTAACTTATTTAAACCCAACACGTGCGCTCTGATCCGATCTTCCCAAAACTCGCCCTAACCCCTAAACCTAAACCCTTATGAACCTCCCCAAACCCTTATAACCCCTAACCCCTATAAACCTTGTAAACCATTAGGCTAGAAACTGACAGGAGAAGAGATACGAAGACGAACGGGAGCGACTTCTGCTGGAGCTGGATCGACTGAAAGCGGAGAAGCAAGCACGTCAGGAGGAAATTCAGCGAAAACTGAATCTACAGTCCAAGATGGATTCAGAAACTGTGCAAGAAGCGATGGCGAAAGTCAGGGAGCAGCTCGACAAGCAAGCGGAGGACAAGAAAAAAATGGATGAGCTCGCCCGGCTGCGTCAGCAGTCACAGGCCCTGAGGTCCAGAGTGGATGACGAGGACGAAGTGAAGAAACAGTTGGGATGGACCAAAGTGAAGGAGGAGAAAACCGAGGAGCCCTCGTGTGAAGAGAAGAAGGATGAGAAGAAGGATGAGAAGAAAGAGGAAGAAGCAAAAAAAACTGTGGATCGGAAGCCGGCTTCCGAAGAGCCGCCGGTGCAAAAGCCTGCGTGCAACAGACGCCAGAGCGCGATGCTTCTGAATCGCCTGAGGAAGAATCCGAAAAGGCAGGAAGCCCTGCCCGCTTCCCTGAGAGAGAAGCTTGCAAAAGAGGATGACGACTCCGTTTCGGACTTGATCAGTGAGCTCATAGAGCATGGGGGCGACTTGCAGGAGCTGTGCAGCAGCTACGAGCGGCAAGTCGTGAAGGAGGTCAGCAGCCAGGAGCTGACGAATTCAGCTCCCTACACGGAGCTGGAACTGATCCAGAAATACGGAGAGCGGGCGAAAGATGTCATGAAAGAGAAGGAAGCCAGTGGAGATTGGGCCGAAGATCCAAACCTCCGAGGCTCCAAGATCTTCTACCTTTCCAAGACAGAGAGGACCACATGACATCATGCGACGTCTGAGAGTTTTGTTCATGCATGTTCTGTAGGTCTGCTGCATCTTAAAAGTGCTGCTGCCCGTGTCCTCTCGAAGGAACTGGGGGAGTTCCGACATCGATCGTTCCTTGGCCTGACTGATCCCATGCTGGACATGTGCCTTTAATTGTGTGTTTGTGACGTCAATCAGTCTCCCTCGAGAATCCCATAGCTTATTTCATGTTATCTCAGGCCAGATCGTGGGCGCCCGCACGAATGTTCATCGAGATGATTTGCCTGCTCTGAAAGATCTTATGCCACCTACCCAGATATAGTGAGGGTTGCAGGTCCAATGCATTTGTGCACCACATGCTATTTTGCACATGTGCTACGGAGGCGGCCCGAACCGAGTGCTCTGAAACGACGGCTTGGACAGCCGTCATCGTCCTCGGCTCCCTCGCCTTCGCCTTCGGTGCCATCAACGCCTGCGACGGCCGATCCGAAGGGTGTGCCATCGGGAGAGAAGGATACCCGAGATCCGCCAGCACCCAAGAAGCCGAAGAAGAAGACGCTGGAAAACATGACTGTGCTCGACAAGGGCGAGGACCTGGCGAAGAAAGCCCTGGCTGGGTCTACGTTGGCTGCCAAGCTGAAGACGGAGATGGAAGCGAATCCCTACGGCAAGGACTTGCTGAAAGATCTGGCCAACGCCGAGAGCAACTTCAAGTGCCCCGCTCGCACTTATACTTTCTCTCGTAGGGAACTGTTTTCGATTCTGCCACATGTGTGCGTGGCGCATGTCACATGCCAGGAAATTGTACAACGATGTGAAGGCATTGTTGAGAGCCAAAGTGGATGTGGAGGAGCAGTACCTCCCTTTCGGGAAGCAGTACGTGCTGCTGCTGCAAGATATGGAAAGGCCGAAGCAAGCAGCTGAAAGCCTCACAAAAGCAGCGACCATGAAACCGGCCAATAAGCAGGGATCCAACAAGAAACGCAAGGGTGCTCCAAAGGAGCAGTGAAACCCTCGCTTGTTTTGGTTCGTCTCTGCCGGGCATGAGGCCTCCTCTCCCGGCAGCGCAGGTGTCGTGCGGGTCACGGGTGCTGTCTGGCAGACGTGGCAGGGATGCAATCTTGTCCATGTTACTCTATAGTGTGGGCTGAGGCCCCGGCCCCCTCAATCCAGGAAATAGAATTTGACCCGGCCCCTTCTAGGGAGCCGCCATGATACCAATGAAAATTGCGTTGCTGCGCATGTCGTCATGGCCAAGACAGATCCTGCTCCGATGCCTGCAGAATCCTACACACTTTTGCTATAGTTCAGCGGCTATTGTGACAAAAAATCTGACAGCTGCGTTGTTGCCTTCGGTCTCGCGTCGCACGATCGATCACAATCTCGTCCTATTATATATCCTGTCGCAGGTACGGTGCGTCCACCTCGTGCAGTGCAGCTCCGAACTTGGAGTCCGCGGTCATGCCAGCTGCCTGCAGAACATGCAATCAATTATGGGGAGTTGCAATAATGCTTTTGTCCACAGCTACGCTCAGCATAAATTTTGCATGGTTGCTGCAGGAAGCAACAACATCGACGAATGAGTCTCAACCGCATTATTTCCACATCTCTTTCAGGGCGTTGGCACTTGCCACCCCTGTACAGAGCTGATCAGGAAGACAGACGACATGGATGGCCGTGGAGCGGAAGTGTTGGCAGAACGTGTGGGGTCTGGTGCCATGTCGATTCACGACTCCGCTAAGATTGCCGCAGCCTTTGTCTGTGACGGTGCACGTGGTGTCGCAAATCGACAGTTTTCAAGGAGCACGAGAGAAAGAGACATGTGGCGCTGGATACAACTCCCTTTCCGTGGATACAGATGTAAGCTGCCGCTGCTCAGCTCTGGGAGACCCGGCCAGAATCAAACCAGAAGTTTGGTTCACGAGGAGGTTTGCTTCGTGCTGCCATCTGATGTCTTCCATGAAATACACGCTCGAGGCCTGGAGTCTGAAATTTTTCTGGGGCTGGGAAGCTTGGAAGAGTGGTGGGCCAGAAACTCCGCAACTTTAAAGTAGTTTATTTTTTTCTAAAAGAAAACATATCGACCAATCTACCTATCTAGCCACAGACCCCTGAACCCCCGTATAACACAAATGCTTGAGTCCGTGGGCGACACACTGAGGAGAAACAGATGAGGTGTACCTCTCTGCTCATAAGGACCACCCGCTGCACCTGACGTACCCCATGGTCTGGCACGAAGACGCCGTGCCAAATTATCATGATGAGTCTGCGGCATTCTGGAGCTGGTCTGTGCCCCTGAACGAAAGGGGATCCCTCTTGTCGCGACATTGCTTCATTGGCTTGCCTTCCAGTCGCATCTGCGCCAAAACACGAGAGGCAGTGCTGGCTGTGCTTGAGTGGGACCTGAGATCCTTGAAAACTGGATGTTTTGCAGATCGCGACCATTTGGACGTGGTTTTCCCAGAAAACAGCTTCAGGGGCAAGAGGGCAAAAACCCCGATCATGGGCGACAAACGTGCCATCTTCTCGTGGTGGAAGGGTGACCAGGAAGCCCACATGCTCAGCCACCGGTTGAGAAGGAATTATTTGACCAACAACTGTTGCGACCTTTGCCTTGCCCAGAAAAGACTTCGTGGCCTCACCTACGCTGACTTTACGATGGCTGCCAACTGGCGACGAACCCTGGAACCGAGGCAAGCATGTACCACAGAGGAGCACACTCCATGGAAGGTGATCCCTGGCTTTCACAAACACAGACGCGCTTTCGACAGCTTCCCACTTGCAGTATGATTGGCTGGTAAACGGTGTAGGACTGAGATTGAAAGAGTTGCTTTAACAACTAATGTGGTGCCTCTGCAGCCGAGTAATGCACATTGCCCATCTGGGCATCTTGCGGGACCTCATTGGCAGTGTCCTCTGGGAAACGTTGGAAAGCCGAATCTCGGAGCATGGTAAGCTGTGACGTGGGTTTGTTTGCTGCATGTCATGGGGTTTAGAAGTTGCTATCATTTGTGCTTTCGAATCGTCCAGGTCAGATGCATGAGTTCCTGGGCATGGCTTCTGACACACCGTTCGACAATGTCCTGTTTACTTTTACTGCACGAGCCAAGCTGTGGGCTCGTGACCGTCGCCTGGACGTCCACATCAAGCCGCTGACGGTGGCATCGCTGGGCAAATCGGACAGCGCCAACTACCCTGAGCTGTCGTCACGCATCAAAGCATCTCGAACGAGGAACTTGCTGGCGTTTGTGACACACTTTGCCATTGACGTAGTACTTGAACTGCATCAGCCATATCGCTTGTTTTCCTAAATGGCATGGTGAAAGATAGATATATATATATATATATATATCCTACCCAATGAGGAGCGGGCCGTGCCGTGGACTGCAGATGCTGACTTTATTCACTGGAATCAAGTTCGTGCCGCTATGCTCTGGTCCTTGGATTCCGCTTTGTCGCTCTTCGGCAAAGGCCAACGACCGTTTCTCGCTCGACATGAAGCCTCTCAAGGCACTGCTTTGCTGCAATTGCACCTGGAACTCTGGCAAAGGATGGCTCGGCAATGCTTGCTTCGCAAGCAAACTCTGTACAAAGTGAGGCCGAAACACCATTAATCCCCTCCCCCTTTTATTAAAGGACCCCCTAATTATAAAAACACTTTTCCCCCGATCCACCCGGAAGTAGCACCGCCCTTTAAACCCTAATTTGAATTAGGGGGAAGGTTTAGGGTCTATAGATTGAGGGTTGAGTCAGCAACTGCTCAATTGAGCCGCATGAAAAGCTTTATTAGCCAAGCCTTTATTGAAGCCTATTTTTTTAATGCGTATTTACGGATTTAGTGTGTATTTGCACGGATTTGTGTGTTTGCACGGATTTAGTGTGTATTTGCACGGATTCAGTGTGTATTTGCACGGATTTAGTATGTATTTGCACGGATTCACGGATTTAGATGTATTTGCACGGATTCCGTGTGTATTTGCACGGATTTGGTGTGTATTTGCACTCACGTCCTGTGTAGTTGCACGAATTTAGTGTGTATTTGCATGGATTTGCACGGATCGTGAGTATTTGCACGCAGTATTTGGTGTCTAATTACAGGGATGTAGTGTGTGTATTTGCACAGATTCCGTGTGTATTTGCACGCATTTACTGTGTGCCTGGTGTGTAGTTAGAGGGATTTAGTGTGTGTGTCTTTACACGGATTTAGTGTGTGTTTGCATGGATTCGGCGTGTATTTGCACGGATTCAGTGTGTATTTGCATGGATTTGGTGTGTATTTGCACGCATTTCGTGTGTATTAGCACGAACTTGGTGTGCATGTGCACGAACTTCGTATGTCTTTGCACGGTTTAATGTGCATTTGCACGGATTTGGTGTGATTTGCAACCCTTATAATAGCGTTTCTTAAGTCTCCAGAGAGCCCAGAGCTTCAGGTCACCCCAAAATCTCGATTCCGGGTGGGGAAAGGGCCCAAATGACACCCCCGGGGATTGAGCCCGCAGCCTTTGCGAGGAGGGCTTTGGAGGCAGACGTTTACCCATTAGGCCATGGCCAGATAGTTCTGGGGGCTGGCGGCTGCCTCCCTAGGGGATTTGGGCACGGTCGCAGGCCCAATTCTGGCGGTGTCCCCGTGGGCCCTTTCCCCATCCAGAATCGAAATTTGAAATGACCAAAAACCGCCAAGAGCACAACCAAACCCGCCGAAAACCGCGCAAACCCACCAAAACCCTCCCCGGTGCAAGTTCCCAACATCAACAGCAGGTTGCAGAGGTTGAACCAGCAGGTTGCAGAGGTTGAACCAGCAGGTTGCAGAGGTTGAACCAGCAGGTTGCAGAGGTTGAACCAGCAGGTTGCAGAGGTCGAAGCTGCAGGTTGCAGAGGTTGAAGCAACAGGTTGCAGAGGTTGAACCAGCAGGTTGCAGAGAGGTTGAACCAGCAGGTTGCAGAGGTTGAACCAGCAGGTTGCAGAGATTGAAGCAGCAGGTTGCAGAGGGTGAAGCAGCAGGTTGCAGAGGTTGAACCACAGCAGGTTGCAGAGGTTGAACCAGCAGGTTGCAGAGGTTGAACCAGCAGGTTGCAGAGGCAGAGGTTGAACCAGCAGGTTGCAGAGGTTGAAGCAGCAGGTTGCAGAGGTTGAAGCAGAGGTTGCACAGGTTGAACCAGCAGGTTGCACAGGTTGAACCAGCAGGTTGCAGAGGTTAAACCAGCAGGTTGCAGAGGTTGAACCTGCAGGTTGCAGAGGTTGAACCAGCAGGTTGCAGAGGTTGAAGCAGCAGGTTGCAGAGGTTGAGCCAGCAGGTTGCTATAACAAGCATCACCGTAATCGTCATCATCATTTTCATCGTCATCATTTTCATCATTTAATTACTTGTAGAACCTGTGTTTCTAGGAATTGAGATAACAACACCCCCCTAATTATAAAAACATTTTCGAGTTTTTATTTAGGGCGAAGGGGGGGGGGCCCCGACCCTTTAATATTAGGGGGAAGGGATTACTTGTGTCACCTGATATCTGACATTGAACGCAATGCTATCAACCCCATGTTCTTCGCAAACTTTGCAGAAGAAGATTTCATGAAATTCATGAGATCTTGTGCCCACGCTTCCCATCCGCGAACTATGTTGATGGCGTGGAGTGCTCGATATATCTTGAAGAGATCCATGATGTGGCGCCGTCTGCAGAGTGAAAAAGGTTGGCTTGTGCACCATGTCTGACACACGCACGCTTAACTCGTTGCTTGGTCGGTTGGCTTGTTTTTCGGTCGGTCGGTCGGTCGGTTGTGCTGGCTTGCTGTGCTTGTTCGCTTGGTCGGTCGGTCGATTGTGCTTGGTTGATTGCGCTTGCTGTGCTTGTTCGCTTGGTCGATTGGGCGCCTTGGGTTGTGCTTAAGGCTTGCTGTGCTTGTTTGCTTGGTCGGTCGGTCGACCGTTGTGCTTGATTGGTTGTGCCTGAAGGCTTGCTGTGCTTGTTCGCTTGGTCGGTCGGTCGTTGTGCTTGGTTGGTTGTGCTTGAAAGCATGCTGTGCTTGAAGGCTTGCCGTGCTTGTTCGCTTGGTCCGTCGGTCGTTGTGCTTGGTTGGTTGTGCTTGAAGGCTTGCTGTGCTTGTTCGCTTGGTCGGTCGGTCGTTGTGCTTGGTTGGTTGTCCATTTGCAGAAGCACCCGAAGCCCGAGAGCCATCGAAGCCGAAGGCAATTCTTTGTGCAAAAGCCCCCCATAGCCCTAAGCACCGAGAGCCGTAGGCAAGTGTATGCAGAAGCCCCCCGTATAGCCCTAATCACCGAGAGCCGTAGTTAATTGTTTGCGCAGAAGCCCCGGTAGCCCTATAAGCACCGAGAGCCGTAGGCAATTGTATGTGCAGAAGCCCCCCGCAGCTCTGCACCGTGCCGTATTGTCTGCAGAAGCCCCGTAGCCCTAAGCACCGAGAGCCGTAGGCAATTGTTTGCAGAAGCCCATGTACCCTATAAACACCGAAACCAGATTCGAAGCAGTGCGACTGTTATTTATATACTTATTAATTAAGCCCAAAGCATGGACCTTGATGTAAAGTTACAACTTGTTGTTTCTTTTGTTTATTGCTGCTTGTCTGTTGTTTCTTTGCCTGAAAAATAATCGACTTGTTGTTTAAGAAACGCCAAAAGGTTGTCCAGGAGTCGTAGTACTTGGAGAAGTTGGTGCCGAAGTTGAATTTGCGCATCTCGGCGTGGCGGAACGTGGTCATCGTGTCCATAATCCACTCGCTGGCCTGTGCTCGGGTGACCTGCTCGATGAATCCACCTTTCGATGAGTAATGGTATGGAGGTTCATCTCGGCGCAGTTGTCGTTGTAGCTTGAAGGCCCTCCGCATCGCTTCATCGAATGTATGGCCGTGCTGGTTCCAGCACGTGTTGTGGTACTCGCAGCATCCCTGAAACCATTTGTGGCAAATCAGGTTGGGTACCACCCACTTCTTGTTAAGGAAATCGGGGTGGAGGTGTGCGCAGTTCGCCATGTTGCAATTCTTTTGCTCGAGTAGTCGGGGACAAATCTGTCGTCGTAGGCCAGAGACAGGGATTTGGGCTTCATCGCGTACTATCTCGGGAAACTCGTGCAACATGGAGTCCGGCACAGGAGCCGTGACATTCACCAGCGTACCCTCACAGAGGAAATCGAACCAGGAGTCAGCTCGAGATCGTGCCATGGCTACGAAGTAACTAATCCAAATCGATGACAATCGAGGTAGAGGGCCTGAGCCCTTCGAAGTTCCGCTTTCGAGCTGTAGATGCAGCGGGTTCGGGGTTATGTAATTCCATGTCAAAATCATTACGAAAAATTTCTGCCAAATGCTGATTATGCAAATCAGTCTCGTGTACAAGAAGGGCAGCATCGGTATCTTCGGGAAGAGGTGCATGGTCAGATTCGGGATGTAGAGAAGCCTCGACGACCGCGAAGGGAATCGTCAGCGGCTCCGCGGAGTCGTCGCGATTGGTAATGTGGAGATACAGAAAGGCCTCGAGATTGGGCTGCTTCAGCAGGGTCGCAGCCAGGTTGACAATGTCGTTCGCTGTCCGACACTGAGCAATCGGATCGATGGCCTTTCGAATTTGTCGCGACTGTCGTTTGTTCCAAGCTCCCCAAGTCACATCCTCGGGTTTCTCGATCTGGAAATCTTCGAGAACTTGCTCACGGCTGAATTCTTCGAGCGATTCCTTCAGACTGTCGACAACCGACAGAGAAGCCGTAGTGCTCGAAGTACTGGCCGCCAGCAGCGGTCGTAATAGAACTCGAAGTACTGGCCGCCAGCGGCGGCTATGACCGAGGAGTGATCCGAGGGGATTGAAACAAAATTTTCCCTCAAGTTGTAACAGCCTTCGCCAAATGGCCACGGAGTATACAACCGTTCGAATTGAATCGGTGAGTCAATCCCCTGACCGATTCGGTGAACAAGTGAGATATCGAGTTGTCACTTCGCACAAACAAGTGTGTGCTACACGAAAAATCAGCAAAAATGTTGCCAAGAATAGCCCGGTCTCTTTCTTTCGCCGTGAGCTTAGCCAGCCCACGCGGCTCGCCGAAGCTTCTAACCGGCCTGGGACCTTTGCGGTTCGCCCAATTCGACCTGGAAAACGTAGCCACCGGCGGGGAGATAGCCACGACGTCGTAAGAGCCAGACTGGACCAGATGGAGGTATTTCGCCATCGCCTTGGATGTAGCCAGGTCGGTGGAAGGACTCCTAGCCAGATCCACACAGGAGATCTCCACATCGACTCCGAAGCTCGAGGCTAGCCGTCGGAGGTGGCTTTGAAAGCTTCCTAGCCTCTCCCTGCCCGAGAAGAGGTACAGAACTTGTAGCCGACGGTTGGTCGGAGCCGTAGGCGGAGTAGCTAAAGGTGTCGTCGCCGGCGCAGGCTGAGAAAGTCAGTTAGCCGCGGTCGTCGGGGTAGCCGTTCCGGGACAGTTGATCGCCGAGTGCTGGCCCCGGCACTTCGTACATACATGTACGAAGTGGCATTTATCCCCTTTCTTACAGCCACCTTTCAAATTAAACCGAAAACAAATCGGCTTATTATCCTCAGTGCGGTGAAAGGTGCCGGTCTTAGCCTTCTTGTTGCTATCCTTGCCGTCCTTGCCCTTGCCCCTGCCCTTGCCTTTCTTGTTGGGCGGCTTATCCGGCTGCGAGTTATCCCAGGACCAGGGCTGCGGCCTCTTAGCACAGAGGGCTAGCGGGGTGGTGAAGTGGCGCTCTTTGGTAGCCGCGTCCTTCCAGGACTGGACTAGCGCGTCAGCAAAACCTATCCCCTTGAGGACCATTTGCTTGTAGGTCTGCTTGCGGATAGCATTCTCGTAGGATAGCACTAGCGTCCACGGCGGAGCCAGGGAGCCGCTAGCCTCGTTGGAACGTAGCCCGTTCGCAGAAGTCGCCGAGCAGGTAATCCTTGTATTTCTCGAAGAGCTGGAAGTCGATATCCTTCAGCTCTGATCGCCCTGGGTGCTGCAAGCCTATTGAAAACGTAATCGGACTTTTCCACAACTCAGAGCCTAGTACGTAGCGGAGTTCTGCAATTCACAATGTGCTCCATGGAATCGGGCTCATGCCAAAATCACGTGTTAACACATGTAAAACTGTTCAAGCAACGTGTGTACAAAGGGCAGGGATGTAATGTTTCATCACCCCGCCTGAGGTTCGTTGGTTGACTACCGTACACTACGAAGCTCACTGTGAAACTCACGAGAAACACTCACCTCATCACGCCCTGTGCACCGTAAAGCCTGGTGCACGTAACACGGGCTCTCCATTTTCACATGCCTGGCCACCGTAAAGGGAATTGGTGACCGCAAATGGCATCATGTTTGCGTGGTAGCATCACGCCTCTCGTACTGCCTTCCGTGAGGCAGCTCGTAGAACTCCAACTGTATCATAGCATTCTCGTCCCTCAGAGAACGAACTTCGCACTTCAACTGCTGAAGTGCTCGCTTGTCATCTTTCTGCTCATCCCATAGAGCCGAACACAAAGTTCCGAGTTCACGAACTTCAATGCGCTCTCGATTGAGCGCACTCCGGGTGCGCACGAGCAAAATGCTCAGCACCACAAGTATGCACAGCAGCCCACAAAGAATCATAAAAGAAATCATGTCATGGCTGCTTTCTGTAGTTGTCGTTGTTGTAGTCGTAGTGGTAGATTCCATCTCCACTCCATGAAGGAAACCGGCCGAAAATGACCCAAGGCTCCAAGCAACTGTTGCCATAACAACACCAATGGCATACACTGCCCCACGACGGTACCACGGCCCGCCGGGTGTTGCAATATACAACCATCCATCATCACCACCATCGGCACCATGCTCTGCTGTACTCTCCATAGCATAAATCGACATGCACATTGAAACAAGCACTGCAAGAAAGAAGCATGCACTCATGTTTGCACTCGTCACTGCACTCGCCTCCGCAGGAATCGGCATCATAAGCAAGAGCATCGCCACTCGCTTAACCCACGTGCTCGATATGTCTTTGCCTACCACTGTCCGGACACGCTTGACCTGAGCTCGGATCGTCGCCGCAGCGCACGTGTGCTCCCACTCGTTTTCCCCGATTGGCCTGGAGTGGCAGTCCACAAAGTCATGCAGAAAAAGTAGAGTTCGCAATCGGCTTGGGGAAAGTGGCTTGGTGTGAAGGTCTCCTAAGTTGAAGTGGGTCGAGATGTACTTCATCATCAGACGCTTCTGCTGAACAATGTCTTGCAACCACAATAGCCGGCCCTCAAAATGCTTGCTTGCTTTCGTAACTCCCTGGCGCAAACAGAAAGCCTTGCACGACTGGTTGTCAACATACAAGATCAGGTCGCAGGGGCTCCGGCTCATAAACTCGATCACAGCCTTCATGAACAAGCCCTGACACGCGCTTCCCACAGCACTGTAGTACTCGCTTTCCATCGAGCTCAGACTGATACACTTCTGAGATCTACATATGTAGTGGACATATTGTCCGTTCACACAGAAACTCGCTCCACCATATGATCGGCGATCCTTCTTTGACCCTGACCAGTCAGCATCTGAAAACACCTCCAGCACATTACGCTCAGCGTCATCTGCACAACCAGAATCATACACATAACTGTTCAGTTTCCTTGTCCCAGGAGCTGCAAACTTCATCAGGATCCCATAATCACATGTGTTGATAAGGTACTGGATCAGCTTGATCAAACCAACCTTTGCATGTTCAGTCGGCCTCGCCATGTAGCTCGCGAGCATGCGCACAGCATAGCCCACATCGGGCCGGTCACACGATATGTATAAGGCTGTTCCCACTGCTTGTCGAAACTTGCTTGCATCGATGTGGTTGAGCTCACGGGTGGTGTCCTTAGCACGAAGTTCACTCCAACATGGAACCCGTTGTCGGTTGTTTTGCGTGACATTCATGGTCTGCTTCATCTGCTCAATGTAGGAAGAGGGTTGCCGAATCACAATACCCTGGTCTGTAATCGTATGCTCACGCTTGAGAAAACTGAAAGAATGACCCACCTCATATGCAAGCTCATAAGTGATCTGAAATCGTTGTTCAATCACTGGAAGAAAGCACTCGCGGGCCCACTGGAGCGGCAAAAGAAGTAAAGAATCATCAACATGGATCATGCCCGGACCCTTGTCTGCACAAACTCCATCAGATCCTGGCTTGCTGCTGACGTGCACTACCGCAGGGCACTCCTTGCACTTTTCAATCACAAAGTGTTCTCCGAGATACTCGCAGAAGTGTGAGAACCACTGTTGTGATCCTTCGCGTTGTCCCGGAACCATTCGCATGAACACGAGGTCTTGACCTTGCACCTTGGAAACCACCGGTGTCGGCTGAGGAACTTCAAGGTATGCGTCTTTCACATCGAGCGCCAAAATGGCATACTGCTCGGATGGCCGTGTCTGTTTCCAAGTCAGCCACGCCGGAATGAGGCGCACAATGTCAGTGCTTGTAGCAGGGCTGAACAACCCTTCTTTGGACTCATCCAACCACCGAAACTCCCGAGCACACAGTCTGGATCGGCGGTACCATGAAGGAGTCCCGTTCCGCTTCTTGTGCCGCCACGTTCGAACAAACTTTGTAGTGAGGCTCTGCATCGAACCCAAATCATCATCACTCGTGGCATGTCTCAGCACAGACTTCTTCAGCAGTCTGCTGACCTCAACTTGATCAGCAAGTTTGTCAAGCTCGGCCAAAATGGCATCATCGAGCTCTGGCTCCCTTCCATTGTCGGGAAACCACAATCTGTCATCATCTTCGGCCACCTCCGCTTCGGGATCGGCCTTGCACTCATTCGTGAAACTGTCGTCCGTCTCGGACTCCATGGACCAAAGTTTGGTCTGCACTTCCCAGCCGTCAGGCTGGTCCAAATCAAACTCGCCTTCATCGTTCACTTCGTACGACTGATCACCAAACGTCACAGCCCGGATGCGCAGCTTCTTCAGCGGTGGCAGTTCTGCTTCAGGCGTACTCGGTGGATCGGGTCTCATTGCAGGATTGGGCCTCGGAGGCTCAGCTTCAACACCAGCCATGCTCTCATCTGGAATTGCTCGAGCACTTTCAGGAGGCACATTGCTCCTCGGTGGCGCCATGGCTCCGGCCCCGCCCAACGGCGTAACCGGCATCCCAAGTGCCTCAACTGCAGGTGTTGGTGGCTCACTGGCGGCCTCATCAGGGGACCTTGGCGGTGCAACATCCTGCACTGGGTCCACAACCGGATGTCGTTGTTTCGGCATTGCCACAAACTTGGCGCCTATAACACCACTTCCATAGTCCCAAGGATAGCCTGTCAGCTCACGGTAGAGCTGAACTTCAAGCTTTCAAGGCTGGCCAACACGACGGATGGATCGCGACAGCCGGATTCCGTCCTTGCCAGCGATGATGTACATGTCGTTGAGCGAGGATTTGCTCACAAGGATTCCAAGCATCCACCGCTTGTCGTCTTTCTGCTTAACATCAAGCTGGCAGTAGACCGGTTCGGCGAACGGCGCAATCCGCCCACTGTACTTAGCCCCACAGGCCCTTTCATAAGCCGTCATGTTGCCGATGACTCTGTATCTATTGAGCAGCCACGCGCTATGCACAAAAGCCCAGGCAAACAACACATGTGTCGTAGGCAGCGGAAGGCCGGTGCGGTGACGGGCCTGATCAAGCAACGTGTTTGCGAGCTTCCGTGCTGAGTCAATGGCCTTCTCACAAAAGCCTAGGGAACCTTTGGCACCTATGGCAGGATTCTGCACAAGCGTCTGCAACCCGAGCCGTTGCCGAGCCGTGACGATGGCTCGCTGCAGAGTCAAAGTGGAGGGCTCGTTGTCGCACTTCAAGGTCACAGTGGTGTGGTCGAGGCTTTGGATGAACCTCATAAGCTCAATGCCTAAATACCTTGTATCACCTTTGGACTCACACGGAATCGCTGCAATCATTCCAGTAGCGCTGTCGTGCGCCACAAGACACTTGAGTGCACGCTGGGAGTCCTCAGGAGCAGCATCGAGGTTGCAAATGCCATCCGGCACACTGTACCCTGAAAATGAAAAATCAAATTGAATGATCGGGTTGTCGCGGGGGCCCTCCTTCAAATACTCACTCCGGTCTGGCATCGCTCGCATGCTGATGCAGTGTGGGCACCACGGCTTGAAAGGCACATGTGTGCATTCATGAAGGAATCGTTCCGCCTCGGTAGGGGCGGCTGCGACCGGCTGAACCCTTGGTTGCCTTTCACCTGAAGACTGAGCATCGGCAGCAAGCTCCAACTCCAAGGCCAAACGCTGCTTCTCAAGATATCCCTTGACACGGCTGAAGAGACGAGACTTGGAGCCGGCCGTACTGAGGTTGAGCTTGGCTGCTGCAGTTTTCAAAACAGCTAAGCTGGAGTCATGTGCAATGAGCACACCATCAAGACTCAGCGGCTCGACATTGTCGGTTGGCACTCCATCTTCTAACTGGTCGGGCAGTGGCATTGGCGCTGGGCTCGATTGTCCAGCTGCATCCTCTAGGCCTTGCATAGCCTCATCTTCAGGCACCACACGATCATGCTCAACTGTCCCGACAGGCGCTTGCTCAGTCTCGGCTCGAAAATCATAAAAATCTGGCTCTGGCAGACCTTGCGGTTCGGTCATGCCTGCAGGGAGCTGCACACCTATCTCACACACGGGCTCAACCTGCACGTGTAAAAATGAAATTACCTCGGCAACCTGACCTCCGGGCAAAACGGCTTCAACCTCCTTCAAGTCAGCCCACGGCACGCAGTGTTCAAGCAAGAACCATGTCCCACTGCGGCAGATGAGTGTGCTCCTGAGGGGCCAACCGATTGGCGCCATGAAACTCGGATCCACGAACCTACTTGTGCGCCCTCTCCACACCAGGTGCCCAGACGAACCGACTTGCCATCCGAAATCGAGAGACTCAAGTCTCGTAGCCTCAAAATGCACCTGGATGGACGCAACATGCAACGTGTTAGGGCACACCTCTCGGACCTCACCTGTGACCTGAAACTGGGACTGACTGCATGCGGCATCACAGACCTGTTGGCTGTCGGCATCACGGACCTGTTGGCTGTCGGCATCACGGACCTGCTGGCTGTCGGCATCACGGACCTGTTGGCTGTCGGCATCACGGACCTGTTGGCTGTCGGCATCACGGACCTGCTGTTGGCTGTTGGCATCACGGACCTGTTGGCTGTCGGCATCACGGACCTGCTGTTGGCTGTTGGCATCACGGACCTGCTGTTGGCTGTTGGCATCACGGAGTCCCGCGTGGAGCTCACCTTCGCTAGCTTCATCCTCGGAGTGGTTGTTGACCTCACCTGCACCTGGATTGTAGTGCATCAAGTCTTGTTCCTCATGCTCCACACGGCGGATCTGAGCATTCACGGCCAAAGAGTAGCCTTTGAACATCAAGGGCACCTCGGCGCCACTCCGTGGGTGGCGCAAGCACATAGGACCTGCGCCTGCATTGTCACCTTGGCCTAGGCGAATGGGCCACCATCCCTTGCGCATGAGCCGTCCAAGGCTCAACAGTGGTTGAGTGACATTTGCAACAATGCACCGTTCACGAATAACCACGGGCTGGGGCCCGCCAAACAGCACGAAATCTACCAAGCGTTCAGCCTGAACCTGCATCGTGCCTCCTTGGGCATCTTGCACCTGCAGCGGCCTTGCACGAGCGGCACGGCCACACGACTGGAAAGTCTCAGGGATGCACGAGATATCGGCTCCCGAGTCGATGATCACACACTGGCCTGCACTGGTCACTGCTCGAACACACGCAGTAGCAGGACTTGGCACCAAGTCAAGCACAGCATAGTCATCAGGAGGCAGGGTCCACTGGCCATCATCATCCTGGGCATCCATTGCGTAACTCTGTGGCGCAGTCACAGTAACCATACAGACATTGGGCTCATAAGGAAACGGATCCTCCAGGTCAGACAGATCGAAAAGAAGTGGCTCAGCCTCAGCCGCAACACGGCGAACGGTGGACTGTCCTGCCTTGCCTTGCTGGGCATGAAGGGCACTTGCGGAAGAAGGGGCAGTCGTGCTCGTGCCGGCATCGGAAGCTGCAGAAGAGTTGGCCTGAACCTGCCGGGCACCTTTCTGATGGCCTTGCATGTAGGCCTTGAACTGGAAGCAATCTCTCTTGTAGTGTCCCGGCTTCTGGCACCAGCCACACACGGAGGGCCAGTTGCCCTTTGCATTGCCACCTTTATCCTTGCCTCCTTTGCCTTTGCCCTTGTCGCCTTTGCCTGCATCGCCTTTGCCGCCTTTGGGCCTGCCTTTGCCATCTTTGCCTTTATCGCCTTTGCCGCCTTTGGGCCTGCCTTTTGTCGCCTTTGCCTGCATTCACACGGTCTACTTCCATCGGCGCAACATCGCCGGTATCATGCAAGCCTTTCTTCCCATCACTCAAGCCATAACTCGAAGCAACACTGGTTTGCCACTTTGTGTTAGCTCCATCCCAACGCAGCACAAGTTCACGAAGATCACTGTACGAGCTGTCATCGGATATGACAAGTAACATTAGCATGCTGACGGAGCTGACCTGTCAGGCAACTGAGGAGCGTGGCCATCTTGTTGTTCTCGGGCTCGAGGCGCTCATACTCCTCAAAGGCGCTTTCTAGGCGCAGCAGTTGCTGGGCAAGTCCTTGTTGGGCCGCGAAAGACGGCCAGCTGTTGATCGTACGCAACAAAGCTAGAACTCGATTGCGGGTCTTTGGCATAAGATCTTTGCTAAGCAGTCTCCATGCCTCAAATCCGTTCTGTTCCTGAACAGATCGCAGCAACCGCCGGCCACGCTCATACAGCAAGCCATTCAACATGCCGTACAGTAGCCGAGACCGCCGCTTGGCGCTCTCATCCAGAGAACTCAAAACCACTGCTGTCTGCTGCCGGCCGTAATCACGGAGCTCATTGCTAAACTCAGGTTCCAAACACGATAAATACTGTTCAAACGTCCAGCTCCACTGAGGCCATTGCGCGAACTCCTCATCTCGCGTAGTGGGCCGGAATGGATCCGGCTTCGGCAAAACCTTGGTCAGGTCTCCAACTCCCATAGGTCGGGAGCCTTGGGCAGTGCTTGCAAATGCAGCGGCTTGAGCAGCCGCACTGGCAGCCTGTGTAGCCTCCGACATGCGTTGCATAAGGACTCTCAGGTCGGCAGCTGTCATAGCAATCTCAGTTCCAGCATTGGTGGGGCTCGTTGGCTGAAAAGGGTTCGTAGGCGTTGGCTGCACAAAGGGCGCATGACCAAATGGTTGCGCTGAGGCGGTGGCTCCAGAGGGGCCTGTGAGCTCCTCATCTGTCTCATCACCAATATTCGCCATTGCTCTGTAAAGCAGGGCAATCAATCAATATCAATCACCTCCTTGCAACTGTTCGAACAAAGATTGGCACCAAATGTGCGTCGGGGCTCGGGCCCTTGCAAATCGATCGGCTGGTCCGGAGGGGCCGGCCTCACTCGAAGCAGCACCGCTGGGCGCTGTCGCGCCCTATCCTCTGTGCTCTCCGGCTCGTTCGGGTCTAGCTCCTGGAAGGTCCCTATCCGGTAGATGTTCTCCATCCTAGCCACATAGCTGGAACCACGGTATCCCTTCATGCACCTAGTCTTCTGGCTCTCGCCTGGGTGAGAGAGTACTCGCTGCTAGCCCTCAGCCTCTCCGCGTCGGCCGCAGTCCCGGCCGGGTCCCGGCCCAGGGTTGACTACCGAGAAAGGCATTGTCGTCGCCGCTTCCTCTGTAGCCGCTGCCTTCTCTCGCCGCGGCGTGCTCCTATCCTTGGTCTGTTGGACCGTTGGCGGGTCCCTAGCCGGCTTGGGTGGCTTGCCGCCCGCCTCGCCTGGCGCTGGTCCCTTAGCCTGCTTTGCTATCCCCTGCTGGCCTCCTCTGACCCGGCTTGGGTCTCCTCCTGCCTAGCCGCAGGGGTAGCAGTAGCCCGGACCTCTTTCTCCAGCTCATCAGCTTAGCCATCATCTCGTGGAGCATATCCAGCTTAGCCGGTGGAGCTGCCGCGCTGGAAATAGCCGGCCTCTTCTGTCTCCCCCTGCCAGGGCGTATCCTCCAGATCATCCGTCTGCTCGCTATCCTCCTCTAGCGCGAGCTCGCGGTTCTTCGCTATCCGCTGCGCCTCCGTAGTCGAAAGGCTGGCCTCCAGTTTGCAGGGGATATCATCCCAGCAAAAGGCAGTCTGGTACTGGACTATCCGGGCAGAGAGTCCGAAATCAGCTAGCCTCAATTCTCTCGCCTTCCGAACTAGCTGCACCAACTCGTGCTGCTTATCCAGGCTCAGCCTCTCGTAGATCTGCTCCGCGAGGCTAGCCGGATCTCTAGCCATTCCTCCAGCAAGCGGATCCTCTGGGCTAGCGTGCTAGCCGACTCTGTCTGATCCGCCCAACTGGCGGTTCTATCCATGGGCCGCTATCCGGCCACAAAGGCAGACAGGCTCGCCCACCTAGCGTGGGCTCTGGTGGGCCGTAAATCCACCCTTCTAGCCAGCAGTAGCCGCGGCAAATTCTTTTGTGCAATGCCCTAGCCAGCAGACGCAATCACAGCCGAACATGTGCACATGCGGTCTAGCCTGCCTCCGAACCTCACAGCCTACGACCTAGCCCGCAAGACAACAAGGCAAAGTGCAAGAACGTGATTCTCTCCTCTCCTCTTCTCTCCCCTTCTTTCTCCCCCTGAGGCACCCCGCCCTTTGAGGGATGGGAAAGAAGGAGTATATCCCGAGAGGCACCCCCCAAGGAGTATCCCTTCGTTGCCCAGCCCCGCTGTTTCCTCGGCGCATCTATCCCTTCAGGCAAAAGGTGGCCCCCAGCCGAACGGGATAGCCGGAAACGGTTTTACAGGAAACTGGGGTCTATCTCTGGCGGTTCCCCCAAGCTGCTCTGCCGCTGGGGTTTTTCAAACGTCTCGCCCTCTCCCAACTCCGGCTTCTGGTCCCCGGTGCTAGCCTGAGAGGTGTCGCTATCACTAGACGGGGGCCCTTCTTTCTGACCTTTCGGCCCGCATAGCCTACAGACATGTGTGTACTGGTCGGCGTCCGGCCTAGCCGAGAACTGGGAGTTCTTAAATATCCGGCGGCGGCCCATCCAACAACCGGCCAGGCCCCCTTGTGTAGCCGAAACTTAAGCAGCCGCTCCGGTGTGGCTCCGGTCCCAGCTCCGGTCGCTCACTTCTTCAGGTAGCCCAGGGCTAGACCAGCTCCGCTCGCTAGCTTGTCGGCATCTTGCTCGCTAGCCTTGCCAGAGCGGAGCAGCCAGGCACCGAGGTCGCCGGCGATCTCCCTTTCATCTAGCTGATCTTCCCGATCCCGCGCTCTAGCCGCTTCTGCGTAGATAGCCTGGAGCCTAGCCACCCGGCCGCCGTAGGAGCGGATATAGGTATCCGATCCCTCAATTAGCCGGCGTGGTTCTTCAGCAGGTTGAAGCCCACCAATAGCCAGCCCGGACCCTCGAAGTAGGCTCTCTCCGAAATGCACACAGGTAGCTCACGAACCCCGATGGTTTTCCTTCGCCGCAAGATCGTAGATAGCAGGCCCTCCAGCATCGCCAGCTCGTTCGAGATCATAGCCTGCCATCGGAGACGGCGACGCTAGCATCAAGGACCAGCCTCTCCCACCTGGCCAGTTTTGCCGCTGGGTACCTTCCAAGATAGCCTCTCGACCACCGTATCCTTGATGGCCCAGGCAATCCTCCCTGAGGTAGCCCTAGCCTCGGTGGACCATACCCGTTCTATCCAGCTAATCGCCTTGAGGATAATCTCCGGCACCGTTCTGCCGCAGGGTTCATCCCCTCTAGCCATGATAAAATCGGCTAGGTCCGCAGGTAGCCCAGGAGGACGACCATCCTTCGCCTCCCGTCGCCATAGCCGCCATCTCACGTGGATGGAGACGTAGCGCTTGCGTGCTAGCCCGGCTCTTCCCAGCCAGTGCTAGGATAGCTCTATCCGGATCCAGGCTCCCCTGTAGCTTCTTCAAGACCGGGGCCTCGCAGATCTCTAGACTCTAGCTCATCCTTCAGCTTCATGGCCCAAGTAGCCTGTAGCCGCTCTTCTCTCGCCTGCCAAGGAGCCCTCATTGACCAAGCGCTTCTGCCTATCCCCCTTCGGGGGTTCTGGCTCGCTATCCTCCTGAAGGTCTATCCCTTCAATCGCCGGTCGCCGAGGTCCACCCAGGCTAGCGAGGTTGCGTTGTAGCCAGAGAACCTTTCCACCAGATCTCTAGCCTCACGGCCCTCCTGAATCCACAGGTAGATCGAGTCGCCGATGTACTCATCATAGCCCACGCCAAGTTCCTCTGCCACCTGGTGGCCTACCTCTTCCGCGTCCTCAAGAGCGAGGGTAGCCAGCTCCAGTACACCGAAGCCCCGCGATGCCACATGCTCATGGCACTTATTCAGCATTGCACGCTTCTGTACAAGAGCACTATCCCTCAAGGACGGAAGCGCAATGGGACTCCCTATCCCACCGGTGGGGGAACCCGGTCCCGCGCCCTGCTCGCCCGGCGAGGCCGTAGGCAGGACGGCCGGACTCCCTGGCTCCTCACCCCCAGGGCTAGCCGGAATCACCGTGATAGCCAGTGACGGAGGACTCGCCGTCCGCGAAGCAGAAGGGGTGCGAGGAGAGGCAGCCATTCTCGCTTGGCTAGATAGCCAAGTTCCCCTTCTCTCCCCTCTACTTGAAAAAAACCCCCCTGATGGGGGACTTTATCCAGAATGGCCACGGTCACAACTCACGTAGCCATTCCAAGTCACAGCTATCCTGTCTTCGCATGTCAGAGGCAACTCTCCTGCGAGCAACGATAGCGATCGAAACTTTGTTTCTAGCGAAGCTACCTTCAATAGCTTCGGAAGTAGATAGGTAAGCTAGCACACATAGTCGTAACTCGTTCCTCGTCACGAGGTACGATCATCAGGACCTGCTTCTGACGGCTCACAATCCGAGAGATGATCTCCCTCGGGACGGGGAGGAGGTCTAGGCAGCTGAAGCTCTTCATACGACAAGAACTCTTTGGGAACTGGGGTCTCAGGAGCTTTAGCTTCTCTACCAAAAGCCTTCTCAAACCTTGCAATGCACTCAGTATTGTGATTGCTTTTGTCATTGTCGCAAGCATAGCACCCAGACGTGGGACCTATCTCACGAAATCTAGCATACGTGATGTAAATCCTACGAAGCTTCTTCCTTTCGCTTTGCTCTGTGAAAACATGCGGCGTGAAAGGAATCGGAAGAGGGTCTTCAGCAGGCACCTCGCCTTCATCGGCAAACGTTAACAATGCATGCTCTGCTGCGTTGCGAAGAGGAAACACAGGATCACCAGACCGAACGTAAAGCTCAGCTTCTGGAACACTGATTGGCTCAGTCCAAGCACCAATCTTGGAACGAAGCTTCTCAAGATCAAGCACAAGAGTTACAGAACGATAGATACCACCTGGTTCCAATCGCCATCCCGCGAATAATCCTGGTGCAGCATTCGGGCCGAACTTACTTTCATGCTTATGTCGGTAAAACACAAGCTGGCCGAGAATCAGCTTTCTGATGCATACTTCATCCCTGCCCGAATCCTCAATGTTGAAATCCCACCTACACAGCGACTCATCTTGCGGTGAAGTCAATGTCAGATTCAAGGCGGTGGCACCATAACGACAAGCAACGGGCCACAACTCAGGACGGATCGAAAACCCGAGGAACGATGATCTCACGCCCTCTTGGAAGGTCCTAATCTCCCGCTCAAGTTGAGCGTTGTGGGGAAAGCGATTAGACAAGGATGGTGAAGAGATCCATCCCATTTCTTCTGCCGCGGCTTCGAACTCATCAGCCGCATCAGGCACTAAAGTCACAGGCTTTGAGCAAGTTCTACGTCCAACAAACTTTCTCAATGCAGTCACAACGGAGCTGGTTGAACGATCATTCCCAGGGTATGCTGCAAACAAACCAGTGTACTTATCCCTCAAGCACAACACGACGTAAGACTTGTCCGGAGCATCGGAGTCGTCCGGCGATCTAAACACGTGAATGTGATCAGCGGCAATGACTTCTCCAAACTCTGAAGCTTCAAACGGATCTGGTTCTTCCTCGGTATCACGAGGCTTTCTGCGCACACGCCTCGAAAGCATGCGAGCTTGATTACAGATATCACAGAAAGGATTCTTCGGGAAGTGGAACAACCTGTGCTCAAGTGACATTGCTTGATCTCTAAGCTTCCGAATCCTCTCTGGAACCTTATCCTCTGCTCCATCATCCTGTTCAACTTCACCCACACCTTCAGCAGATGCATCAAAGCCAGGCCCTTCGGGTGGCGCATCAGCAGCCGAACCCTCGGGAGCCTCAGC